CATGTCGAAATGTACTCATGTTTCGATTTAATCCAAATGAAATAAAACATAATTGAATGAAACTTACTGATTTTGGTCTAAGTCGATTTAGTTCAATTCATTCTTCAGTTATTGGTGCTACTTCAACGACTACAATTTATGGAAGTTACCACTAAATTGAAATCAATGATAATTTATGTTTATTAACAATAGACCGTTGTAACATGTACAGCCGCACCTGAAATTCTAGAGAACAGTAACCCAGTAACTTATACTGAAAAATCCGATATGTATTCAATAGGTATGCTTATGATTGAGGTATATAATAATGGGGCCATGTATTGGCCTAATATTTTCAATGATAATGATGTTCGTACCCAAGTTATAGCAGATAATCGGCCTTCATATCCTACAAACCGTACAAATAAACTTTGGACAATAATTGTTACTTGTCTTTCTGGAACAGGGACTAAAAAACCTAATTTTCACTAGTTACGAAACATGTTGGCTGCTTCTACGGTAAAGCTATGACTATTTGACAAAAGTTATTGTAATTAATTTGTGAATTAAAAAAAAATTGAACAATTCAAATATAGCGAGTTTGACAATAACAATATTGTCTCCAGCTTCAACGCGAGTTGTTCGGTCGAATAGACTATCTAGCATAAGACAACAAAGTCGTCCACCAAGCGCTCGGAGTAGTACTAGTAATGCAGTCATTTCAATCACCACCGTTAATGTCTCATCTGTAATTCAACCGCCAACACCTCGTGCTCTTCCACCTATTCCACACAAATCAAATTCAATATCATCGACACCTATGACAGATTCTAGCGCACCTCGACGACTATCAAGGTAGATTGAAACTATAATAAATAAATATGCTAATTTGTTTTTTTCTCTAATTATTGCAGTCAAAGCAAGCTGTTATTATTGTGCACGTATGTATGCTTTAACAGAACTCGACCAACATGAAGTCAGTTGACGGATAAAAAGTCAATGATTGTTTTTCTCACATCTGATTGCATATAACATAGAATAATTGTACTCATAATCCGATAAATTATAATCCAACAATTATTGTAGAATTTTCAATACCTATTCAACCTTCTCCTTCTCGTGCATCTTCTTTTCAAACCAATATAAACCCAACTATATTACCATATGATTCATTTGCCTCATTATCATCATTTGGTGAAACAGATGATCATCAGCAAGATTTATGCACTTCATCCGTGCCACTCATTATACAAACTGGTGAACGAAGTGCTGTAGTCTGTTCGACATATCTTCCAACAATCACAGTTCAAACCAAAGAACGACCAAAGTCGAAAGTGAAACGTAAGAACATTTTATTAAATATAAAATTACCAAGGATCAATAAATTATTTTGGACATACTGAATATTTAGAAATGATTTATCTTTTATTTATTTTTTATCATTTTAGAAACTTCAAATGTATCAGTCGCATCAACTAATTTAACAACTAATACTATTGATGGCCAACCGCCCCAAGTACGTCAAGTGTCTAGTTTCTATGGTATTAAAACAAGTGGTATATTCAACATTATTTTAACCATGGGTACAACAAAACCAGAAAGTGTTATGCTTGTCAGTGATCAAGCTAAATCATTGGAAAAAATTGAAACATCTGTCACATTGGGCATTTTATACATTCATAGTTCATCATTAATTAGTACACGACATCAACATATATCAACTTCTACACATACATGTTCGATAAGTAATCATCGCGGTAAAGGTAAGACAGATGTATATATAAATATTCACTGTTTACGTAGCTTAAAAACAAGTCGTATGGAATCGGTTGAAATTTCTGCTAGCAGTATTAATGTTGATATATTTGATCTTGAATGTAGTGGATTTAATTCAATCTATGGAAGTATACATGTCAAAGAGTTTAATGCTACTATCAATGGTTTTTGTAAGGTGTATTTAATGATATACAGCTAATATTATTAAATTAACAGTTGATGGTAGTAGTAAATTTCATGGTTTTGATTTACGAACTAAAATAGCTCATATAATTATCCATAGTAATTGTTATGGTGAAATCAATTATAATCAAACAACAACTGCCTATATTTCCAATGATAATGACGGAGAAGCAATTAAATACAAGGATAATCCAAGTATAATTCGATCTCTTGATTCAACAGGAGAAGCTATTCAAAAAATTGATTGACATTATCTTTTATTCTATATAAATAAACCTGAAATTGAAAGATAAATACAACCTTATATTAAAGTAACCATAAATATCTGTGTTCCGTAGATTATCATGTTCGACATGCATGAATACACAAGTAACGTTCGTCAGTGTGATTCACTTGACCCTCGACTGAAATCATTATATTTATTCTGATTATCCTTGACAACCACATATACAACTGAATAATCCACAATATCTAGAAATCGGTTGTTCTTCAGAACGAAACAAATTGGCACATATTATTGCTGAGAATATTCTTCAGTAGAATGCAATCATTTCAGAGTCGCAATCCTGTTTCGTAGATTAGCTAAACATAGCTTGCAAAGTGTTATGTGCGCTTAATGACACGGATTGTATCTATAGAATTAAATCCTATGGATATTATCTAGTTTCATAGAATGTAATTACTTTCCAGTACAAGTTTGAAATGAAACTTTTGCATGATTCAGATTCGGATCTAATGATGGATAGCTATGCTGGATTTTAATTTCACAGAGAATAAAAAAGTAGAAAGAGACTCATGCAATATCTCACAACTAAACATTTTCTGATACATTTCGAATGGTTCAATATTTATGTTTTAGTATAGGAAAGTAAATAAAATTCAAAGAAATGTTAACCTTTTTATTTGTTGTCTAATGTTCTTTCTTACAATAAGCATGAAGGAAATCAATGTTACTTCTGCATACTAGTTATCCTCAATCCAATTTTCACAATTATTATCTTTTGACATTCAATCACAAGACATTTGCTTTTTCTACATGGATGCTATTATAATACAAATTCGTTAAGTAATGCTTTTCGTCGCATATACGTTAAAGCTGTTGTGTATATCGAGAAAAATTCTTTCATACAACTAATTTAAAAGAAAATTGTGTTTCCTTCCTTTACTGATTGAGGACATTATTTCAACCGATTGAACTCGATTGGTTAGCAATTGTTCTATAGATTTTGGTTTCGTCAGAAGCGTATTTTCTCTATGGATAATACTCTTCGATTTACTTTTTAATAACTACACTTTTAACTTCTTCCAAAAATCTTCTTCAATTTACCATAGAATAATTTTCTGTGAGAATTTCCAAAAACAACGAGATTTGGTTATAAATCAGTCTTCATAGTTGTAATTTCATGACCATTTTGGAAAATGGACGTTGTATTAAAATTTTTCATTACAGAATCTTGCTAGAATTCTCTCAAAAAGCGCATAGGGCTTCTTACGAACTTTTGCTGAGGGTATTGTCAGTGAACTTTTCGAACCACCGATTAACCGCTCCCATGTTGAAGTATAACTTCTCATTTGAAAATCTCTTTGTGGAGGTCAGATACATTCTTGACGAGAAGTGTGAGTATAAACTGAAGTCGAAACGTAGAGACTTCCACCATTTTCTTTCTAATAGGCAGAATCATAGAAGGTTGAACGTGATGGGCAATGTTTACCGTGACGACGGCGAGACGAAACATTAGACAATAAATATGTTTCTTGTAGACAAAAATAACAGATGGAAAACTGCTTGCTCATTATTCACAATCAATGAAAAGACTCTGACCAACTGAAGAAACTATGCTCATACTATTGACGAATATTTAATGGTATATTAAGACATTAGGTGACTTCTGAATGATCATGATATGTTTTTGAACTTTGGGATAGACAGATGTCAATCATGATCGCTGATGTTTCAATATGGCTCCGTCTCTGTTCGACTAAGACAAAAAAGTACTACATAATTGAATTCTATTTCTTACAAGACCTTCTGTATCTATCGAAGTGCATGGTGATACGTCAAGATTCATAGTGAATTTATCGAATGAACTTACACAGAAAACTTAGCTGATAGAGAACTCTGACAATTAATGCCATCGTCGGTTATATGTCTTTCGCCAGTCCATAGTTAGCGAAACGTGGAGGCTAGGTAAAGCTTGAACCTCACTTGGATACGACACTATTAGGCTCAGCTTCACCCCATTTTGACATGATCATTGTTTCAATACCATAGTACGTAAGTGGAATGAATAATTGGGTGTGGTTGTGGATATGAGAGTGGATCGCCTGTTCACTCACACTCACACCCTCAAGGTAATTTTTTGATGTAAAATAAATAATTATATGTAGGCCAAAAAGTAAAATTAAATCTTGTATGCATCAGTATACATAATACAAGATAGAAAAACTTTCATGTCGACACAGAATCATTTTAGTAAAAGCTTTCCAAAAAAATACATTTTTCTTTTTCTATGGGCATGTTCAATGTTGGAAGTTGTGTTCATTTTAAAAATACATGCAACAAATACTTTAGCATTCCCATCCGATTCATATGTGTTTGCACAAATAAATAAGGTTATCGAATGGAAGTACGTGCAAGGATAAGATTCTGGCATGATCCAACCTTTTTTCTCTCCAAAACATGAAAATTGTGTTTTTCATACGCATGTTTATGACTCACATCGTTTTGCATGTAGTTTTGCCCTGCATCTATATGAAATAATTATAAATGTTAAGAATAATTTTCATGCTTGTACACAAGATACTATTCCTTAAAAATATCTTGTACGTAAACGTGAATTTTTGATAATTTCTCAAATACATACGTTATGTAAGGTTTTGCGTTTGATTGAAGGCCACAATAAAGAAAAAAGAATTCAGTCAAAAGTTCATGTTTTATGTCTGTAATACTAAAAAAAACATCAAAATATTTGAAAAACACAAATTTTTACCTGAAATATAATTAGGGAAATGTTGTTGATTAAAGTAATCTAATTTTCAGCATTAAAGAGAGTTTCATAGTTGTAGTTCATGTTGATTTTGAAAACTATTCTACTATTTGTCATCATGTAAGCGATTGATATAGTTTTGATATAATTCGTTTATTCGTAAAAAAACATATATCATAAAATTTCGATCATGTATCTTTTTGAAATTGTTGTCAAAATCAGTTTAACTTGAAAGTTTAGCAAAAACGATTTCAAAAAAATAATCGAAAAAGTATATAGAAAACGTTCACATGTTCAGATATATTTAACATCTTCTTTTAGTACATATCTCATTATGAACAATGTTCATCCTCTTCTTTAACGAAATGTCTTTAATGGATGGCTACTAAAGTGATACCCACAACTGAATATAAAGCTTGTTCTGATAGACATCCAAATTTGAAATCATTAATTCGAGAAGTTCTAAAAGATATACTATCGGATGTAAACAATTTCGAGTCTCATGATTATATTATCAAAAATGATTAAATTGGATACATAAAACTTTGTTTGCATATTTTTGTGAAAATGAAAAAAAAATAATATAAGCGAAGAAAGTCCACATGAAAATATAAGTATAAGAATTAATGGCTGCAGTTTTTCATATGCTGAAATATCTCTCTAGGTTCAATATATTATGCGTGTCACAGATACATTAGAAACTCTAAGTGATCCTGAGACAAAAGTCATACAAAATAATTATAAGATCATGAAAAATACATGTGTTCCATCTGTATTTAGAAAAATTAATCTTAGATTTATTGAAAGAGATAACATTATGATTGAGAATAGTGAAGATTGTTTTAATAGGATAAAGAGAGAAATTGATGATAGATTAGTAGAAAGATCGAGATCTTCAGAAAGACGTGCCGTTTTTGTTCTTTTTGAATCAAAACAAAAATTAATGGAACTTTATAATTCTGATGTTTTGGCATCAATCAAAGAATCAGTCGATTATCCAACTGAAGAAGCTTCATTAGAAGAAAAAAAACAAATTAAGTAAACGTACAACTGTACATATAATGAAATGAAGCAGACATATACTAGAATTTTAAATATATTGTGATAGATTCAATACTTTTTTGGTAGCTGTTTATTTACAATCTCATGACAATCTCTTGATATGAAAAGTTTAATAATTATAGAATATCTTAATCTTTAACGATGTTACATATGTCAGAAAAATAATTCATATTTGTAATAATCTTGAGATCACTGAGTGTTTTATCGTTTTATTATATAAAGTTTTCCGACGAATATTCGTAGTGATCAGTTTTCGCTTGTCCAACTTTGATAGATGCACTCAATGCATGAATTTTCGATCTTTCAAGCATCGACTATATAATTGTTCTCAGACTCATTAATGTCGAACTTTTGTGAGTAATTTTTATTATATAAAATCTATTTTCTCTAGTACTATTTGTTTTAAACAACAATCAAAATGATCTTTTAAATATGTATGAATAGATCAACTATAGAAAAGGTGACTAGAATGGGAGAAAAAGAAAACTAAGTATCTTGCTCAGAAAATAACATTAGAGAATAATAGCTATTATATGAGAAAATAAGAATATTTTTTTTCCACTGCAGTGTGAGTCGAGTCAAATCGAATCCGAACAAAAATTGTCTTATTCATTTCGGTCTCTGATCTAGGTTGCTTGAAGTATAGTTTAGATCATTTCTCAATTATTTTAATATTGTTATCATCTTGTAATCAATGACTTATTAGTTTAATTTTGCTCCATAAGAATCTATATCAAATTTAAAATCTTTGTAGAGTTTTAAATTTCATATACATTTTAACAGATCAAAATCAAAGCAATTAGTTAATTACCATTACAAGATGGTAACAATGTTAAAATAATTAAGAAATGATCTAAACTATACTTCATGTAATCCAGATCTATAAAACATGATTCTTCTTTCCAGGGACACACTCAATTCCAAAAATGAACGTTCAATAACATGCAAGCATATACGATAAAAACTATTCTATTTTTAAGAAGCTCATAGAACTACTGTACGCTCTGTGAAACTAACATATATAAAGATTGTTTTAAAGATTTCGGGTCATTTTGAGTTTTTACGTATTTTTCGAATACATTAAGTTGAACAGACATAGAATATAATTATACATATGTGTTAGGCAAAATTAAACAGAGTTTTGAAAAGATTTAAGAATTAAAACAAGTTCTAAGAAATGATTATAAAGAACTAATTTT